CTCGGGCGGAGGGACAGAGCAGCTCCTGCGGCACCGAGCGCGGTCCGTGCGGTGACGGGGCCGACAGGCACGGCTGGGCTCGTGTGTAACGCGTGTGTGTGCGTACAGACGTGTACACACACATACAGATGTGTACAGACATGTACAGATGTGTACACATGCGGACATACGTGTACATACACATATAAACCTGTACATATACGGACGTGTACATACACAGACGTGTACATACACATACATACGTGTACATACACGTGCATATGTGTACATACATGTACAGACATGTACATACACATGTATACATGTACATACACATACATACCTGTATATGCCCATACATATGTGTACATATGCCTACATATATGTACATACACCTATATACCTGTCCATACATATATGTATGTGTGCGTACACCTATACACACATACATGTATATACACATACGTACGTTTACCTACACCTGTACATACACATACATACGTGTACAAAGACCTGTATACCTGTACATACATCTATGTACATACACCTGTATGCCTGTACATACACCTGTATATGTGTACATACACCTCTGTACATGTACATACACCTGTATACCTGTACCTACACCTGTGTGTCTGTACCTGGAGTGGAGTGATGTCTGCAGGGCTGAGCCATCAGCTGGACACACCTGGCTGTGCCTCCTGCTACTGGGAGAGTTTACACCCAGAGCAAACCCCATGTGGGTTATTTCAACTTTCCTGCTGTATAAAACCATCTGAAGGGTTTCTCTTCTGTCGCTGCGTGTTAGAGATCACAGAGGTCTCAGTGTGGTGGAGTCACCATCCTGGGGGTGTTTGAGGACAGGTTGGATGTGACACAGTGCCTTGGTCTGGTTGATGTGGTGGTGGTAGGTCGCAGGTTGGACTTGATGGCTTAGGTTGGACATTAGGAAGGATTTCTGCACAGAAAGAGTGATTAGACACTGGAATATTGCCCAGGGAGGTGGTGGAGTCACCATCCCTGGAGGTGTTTAAGGACAGACTGGACATGGCACTTGGTGCCATGGAGTAGTTGCTGTGGTGGTGGTAGGTCGGCAGGTTGGGTTTGATAATCTCAGAGCTCTTTTCCAACCTCAGTGTTTCTGTGATTCTCTGAACTTGCAGGCAGTGCTGGTGTTGTCCTGGTGGGGCCTGACGGGAGTGCTGCATCAGGTGACCGTGAGTCACAGCTCCGGGTGGAAGTTGTTGGGTTACAGCACACTGAGAGAGG